GTTCTCCAGAAGAGTGACTTCTCCGACCTTGTTACCGTCGTTGTCGATAACGTATCCATTGTCATCAATCTCAAGGCCAGCGCAGTGACCAAGGTCACCAGCAGTGAGACGACCGATAACATCACCGTTCTCGTCGCGGACCTCACCCTCCTTGTTGACACGCATGCCAGCCATGGGGTTGATGCGGCGCTCCTTCTGCTCAGGCTCCCATCGCTCGGCCTTTCCGATGACGTTGCCGTTCTTGTCATTGATGTCACCGTCCTCGTCGACCTTGTGTCCCTCAAGCTTCTTGATGTCGCCCTCGATGACACGGCCAATGATTTCGCCAGAAGGAGTTTGGACAGTACCATCCTTAGCAACAACAGCAGAGTCGAAGCCAGCAAATGGTCCCTCAGGTCCGGACTGGTGGCCGTGGACAAGCTCACCACGGCCAATGACGTTGCCTTCGTTATCCCAGATCTGGCCCTTGCCGTCAACCTTCTTGCCGGCCAGAGTGGCTGGGTCTCCCTCAGCGACGCGACCAATGACGGCACCGCTAGAGTCAACGATGTTACCAGCCTTGTTAACAGTGCAGCCAGCAAGAGCGCTGAGGTCGACTTCCTCTTGCTCCTCTTCCTCCCAAGGCTCGGCGTGGCCCTTAACATTGCCATACTTGTCGATAATGTCACCGTCTTCGTCGACAGTGTGTCCGACAAGCCTCTTGGGGTCACCCTCGGTGAGTTGACCAACACGGTTACCATCGTTGTCCTCGACGAATCCGTCCTTGACAACGCGGAGGCCTTCGAATCCGGCGAATGGGCCCTCCTTGCGCTCAGGGCGCTCATTAGGAGGAATGAGCTCGCAGCGACCGACAACCTTGCCGGTATCGCCGTGAATAAGACCCTCGCCATCAGACTTGCGTCCGGCGAGCTCACCAAGGTTACCCTCGACAAGCTTTCCGATAGGAATGCCCTCGCTGTTGACAAGGTAACCCTGCTTGTTGAGAGTAAGGCCGTCGAGAACAGACAGGTCAGCAGGTTCTTCCTCTTCCTCGTCCTCGAGAGGCTCAGCATGGCCCTTGACATTGCCGTACTTGTCAAGGATATCACCGTCCTCATCGACAGCCATGCCAACAAGACGCTTAGCATTGCCTTCGACAATTCGGCCGACAGTGTTGCCATCCTCATCAGCAACCATACCACCCTGGACAACTCGGAGACCCTCAAGGCCGGCGAAGATGCCCTCGGGCTTGGACTCGCGCTCCTCCTCAGGGATCAGTTCGCAACGACCAATCTTCTTGCCAGTGTCGTTGAAGATGAGGCCCTCTTCGTTGATCTTGCGGCCAGACAGCTCCTTGGGGTTGCCTTCGACAAGACGGCCAATGGGGATGCCATCGTCGCCGATGACGTTACCTTGCTTGTTGACGGTGCGGCCTGCGAGAGCGGAAAGGTCCAGTGGAGCCTCCTCCTCTGGAGCCTCCTCCTCGGGCTCGTCGTAGCGTTCAGCATGGCCAACAACTGAGCCCTTCTTGTCAAGAATGTCACCGTCTTCATCGACGGCACGACCAACGAGCTTCTTAGCATCGCCCTCAACGACCTGGCCGACGCGGTTGCCCTTGTCGTCTTCGACGTAGCCATCCTTGACAACAACAAGGCCTTCGAGACCAGCGAAAGGAGCTTCCTCTTCGCCTTCCTCCTGGGGAACGGTCTGGGCGCGGCCAATGACCTTGCCCTTGTTGTCCCAGAACTGACCCTCGGCATCGCAGGTGAGGCCAGACTTTGACAGCTTCTTGGCGTCACCCTCGATCAGCTCACCCACAATGTTGCCATTGTTGTCAATGAGCTTGCCGGCCTTGTTGACCTTGAGGCCATCGAGGATTGATAGAGGAGGGCGGCCATCATCGTCAACGGCCTCCTCCTCTTCCTCTTCAGCATCCTCTTCAACTTCCTCCTCATCCTCGCCGACTGGCTGCTCGACCATCTTGGGGAGGGTCTTGACCTTTCCAATGACATTTCCGTCCTTGTCAAGCACCTCACCCTTGGCATTGATCTTCTTGCCAGCACACTCGGCGGCGTCGCCCTCGACAAGCTCGCCGATAGGCTCACCATCCTCGTCAAGAACCTGGCCCTTCTTGTTGACCTTGAGGCCGTCGAGCTCATTGATTTCTGGTGTGACTTCAACTTGCTTAACTTCAGGTTCCTGGACTTGGGAGGCTTCGACCATCTTGGGCAGAGCCTTGACCTTGCCGAGAACGTTTCCGTCCTTGTCGACAACCTCTCCCTTGGCGTTGATCTTCTTACCAGCGCACTTGGCAGGATCACCCTCGACAAGCTCACCAATCTCTTCGCCTTCCTCATCGAGGACCTTGCCCTTCTTGTTGACCTTGAAGCCTTCAAGTTCATCGATTTCAGGGGTAATCTCCTTCATCTCGGGCTCGCCCTCCTCTTCCTCTCCCTCTTCCTCTTCACCTTCCAATGGCTCGCCAAGCTCCTGCTTGAGTGCCTTGATGGCATTGAAGGCAGCCTCGCCAGGAACAACGTCAACCTTGCCGATGACCTTGCCATCCTTGTCGAGGACTTCACCCTTCTCGTTGACCTTCTTGCCGGCGCACTTGTCAAGGACACCATCAGTGAGCTCACCAATCTCTTCGCCATCAGAGTCAAGGATCTTGCCCTTCTTGTTGACCTTGAGGCCGTCCAAGATTCTAGTGTCTAGAGCACCGGCGGCAGACTCCTTGAGCTTATCAGCGGCGCCCTCAGCGAGCTCAACGGTGCCGAGAACATTGCCGTCCTGGTCAACGACCTCGCCCTTGTCGTTGACGGTGAGGCCCTTGACGTTCTCAATGTTCTCCAGATCGCCCTCGGCAACGTTGCCAACGACATCGCCATCGTCGTTGAGGATCTCGCCACTGCTGTTGATTTCCATGCCCTCAAGGGCCTCGACGCCAGGAAGTTCGTCTTCAATATCAGCAGCCTTCTCATCAACGCCTGCCTTGGTGCTTTCGGCAGCGTTAGTGGCAGTGCCCTTGGCTTGTTCGGCAGTATTGGTAACGCCGTTGAGGGCATCGCCTTCCTCTTCCTCGTCCTCGTCGTCCTCTTGCTGGTACGCAGGGAGGTCGGCAGCTTCGGGAGAGAGTTCAGCCCTGGCAATGACATTGCCGTCATCGTCGAGAATCTCGCCGTTCTCGTTGAACTCACGGCCCTGAATATCAGCTGGGTCACCCTCAACGAGGTGGCCAACAAAGTCACCGTCCTCGTTCAGGATCTGACCAGATCGGTCGGCAGTGAGACCCTTGAGAATGCTAATGTCAGGCATCTTGCCGCTGACATCTCCGAGCTGCTGGTCCGCCATCTCGGGAGTAAGTTCGCAGCGACCAACAAGATCACCATCGTCGTCGAGGATTTCTCCGTTGTCGCCAATGGGATAGCCAGCGAGATCCTCGGCATCACCCTCAACCAGGCGACCAATAATCTTGCCGTCCTGGTTTTTGATCAGACCCTCCTCGTCAACTTCGAGGCCCTTGAGGAGGCTCAGGTCGGGAGTGGCGTCGTCAACGGTGTCCTGAGCCTTGTCCTTGACATCACCTGCCTTGTCCTGGGCAGTGTTCTTGGCCGACTCGGTGGTATCTTCGGCGGTATCCTGAACGTCCTGTGCGGTTTCCTGAGCACCGTCTTGAACATCATCAGCAGTATCCTGTACTGCGCCCTTGGGGTCTTGCTTGGCCTTGCCTGCAAGATTGGAGGCTCGGCCAGCGAGACCACGAGCACCGCTCAATGCGCCTTCTCCAGCCTGCTTTCCGGTGTCAGCGGCTTTGCTGGCAGTGTCGGTAGCATCGTCTTCGGTGTTGTCGGCAGTGTCTTCGGCGTCGTCTCCTGCCTTTTGTGTAGCATCGTCTTCGTCGCCATATTCTTCGTCGTCATCATCGTCGTCAATTGGCTTGGGCTCAGCCTGCTCGAGCTCGTCGCCGGCCTGTGAGACCTTGCCAGTGGTGTCTTGTGCCTTGCCCTTGACGTCTTTGGCAGTTTCCTCGCCCTTTTGGGTGGCATCTTCAAAAGTGTTTTCTGTGTCGTCCTGCACATCCTGTGCCTTTTCCTGTCCTTGCTGCATCAGGCCCTCTGCCTGCTCGGGCACGTCGGAGGTGGGGGCGTCCTCCGACTTGCCTACCTGAGGCTTGTTGAGCTTGGGAGCAGGTGTCTGTGGCTTCCTGCCGAGCTTGGTGGGGGTGCGGGGGGTGTCACCCTTTCCTGCTGCTGGGGAAGGCATGTTGTTGAAAAGAACGCTCGAGACGTTGTATGAGTTGTCGTGCCCGTGGTGAGCCGTGGTGGATGTGAATGTGTAGGAAGAAGCTCGGTGGCTTGTTCCTGATACGTTACTTGAGATGGATTGAGAGCGTGCGGAACGGGGGGAATTCCTATTAGGGGTTGGGGGGAACGAGTAGTAGGAGTAGTTGTGTGAAGAATTATCGGTCATATATCAATTGACGAATGGGTCGTCTTTGTAGTAGGGGAAAAGTAGCGGAAGCAAGGCCGAGCAGCAGGCCTTTATTAGGCGCATGTCTGTATGCTGGACCACCTGGGACAGATGACGTCGAAAGGAGCCATGCTGGAGACAGGAGCTGGGCTCTGTTTGGTGCGGGAAGGCATGGCAAACCTGATTTGGCGGCGCACTGTGTGCAACGGAGGAGAGGAGGATTGCGTCACAGTGGTGGCTACATTTGGCTTGGGGCGGGGCGTCAGCCCGTGGTGGTGGTTTGGTGCCCACTCAGCGGGTTGAGACAAGGCAGGCGGGCAGCTGCAGCAAGGGGGGTAAGTACGGGCTGTGGCTGAAATTGGGATGGCATGGCAGGGAAATCGTCGATGGAGCCGCGGAGGGGCGGACTGGCACTGGGATTAGAGTTGACGGGCTGCATGCAGACAAGCTGAAACGCCTAGCCACAAGACGCCGTGAAGTTACCTTTGGTGGTGGCTGCTTGGCAACCTGTTCCAAGTATGTAGAGCAGAGCTTAACGTCAGTGTCGCTCACTACTGTATACTTGAGCACTTTAGCACACGGCTGATTATCTGGATTGAGAAGCTCGCAGGCAGAGGCACTGCATGGCATGGCATGGCATGGAAGAAGAAACTGTGGTCAAGCAAAAGCAGATACATGGAGTCGAGGCTCCGATCGACGACACTGTGGCTGGTGGTGTTGAGGATCGCAGACAAGTATCAAGTAGCATCCCGGACGGCGATGATGGATCCCCCCTATCACAGCAGGGCCATGTGCATACAGCATCGAGAGAGGAGGCAAGCGGTGCCGTGTGGGAAGCCAGCAAGCAGGTTGTAACAGTGGGCGGACGCGTGTGAAGTTGGAGCTGTTGACATCATACCGCTGGGAGCTCCCCTGTCGAATCCTCGCTTAGCCTAGCCATGGCTCCAAGATGAACGCCACGAACCCCGTCAATGGCAAAACAAAAAAAACTGGACTCCAAAGGGCTGGACAAGACCCTGCGTCACAAGCTGCTGAGAGTAGAGTGAGCAGACGCCGGGGGGCTGGGCGATTGATGGAAAACCAGGCACCCGCACGGCCTCAAGTCAGTCGTTGCGTGAACGTGAGCTCATACCAGTGTTCCACAACTCCAAGCATGTAAATTACTCATGGGCATAGACATGAACGGCGGGGCGGATGGGGCAGCACGAGCTCCCTCCCATGCCAACGGCCAACGGCGCGACGTTGACCCTTCGTCTCCCACCCACAGGTGTCGGTCGTGACAGGCTGTAGCAAAACTTTATCGTCCCATGGGTTATGCACCCCCCTCTAGCCGTGCCCAGCATTCCGCTCCGACCCCATGTGTGTGCGTAAAAAAGGGTCTTTGCCTGGTCCGTCGGTCGGTCATACCACAATTCCCTCTTCTGGCCATACACCCCGCTGCCGACACGAGCACAAGCAATTCCTCATCGGTGTACAGCATTGTCGTTTCAGCCTGTGCTACCAGTCGAGTCATGGCAGCGTGTACACATACATATGGCAGATTGCATGCACATGGCGGAAATGATAGTAGTTACGTACATGTGTACGTCTTTGGTGCAAGCAAGATCAGACAAAAGAAACAACTCTGGGTCGGTGACGAAGTCTGATGTCACCGACTATCCCGTCTTGGCAGCTGGCCACAATTGTGGCGGCACGGAACGGGGGTCCCGCTCGCCTGAGCGCCGCAAATCAAAGCTAACGGCTCCCTCCTCCCTATGCTCTGGTTCTGGGCCTGTTACGACTCGCGCTTCTTCCTGCTTCGATACTCGTGCCCTCGTCCTCCGCCTCCGCCATCGTGCAATCATACGCGCCGCACCGCCGCGACCCCTTTGCGCCGTCCGTCAGGTGCATACAGCTATCCTGCTTTGTTTTTACCAGACAGCCTCACACTAGCATTAAACTCCGACTAGGACAATTGTCCGCACAACTCTTATGGATATCATTAAACTAACTAATTACCCTCACAACAATCCCCATCATGACGACCCGCACGTGACCTGCAACTTCAAGAGCTTGCTTTCCACTTGCTCCTTCCATGACGCAGGGTCTCATCTCGATCCCGTCGGCGCAATCCCGTCCTCGACATCTTCCCCTGGCTTGCTCAACCACTTCTTCCTCTTCTGCTTAGCGCCCGCACTCTCCTTTGCCGTCACTCTCACGTCGTCCTTCTCAGTCCCGCTTCTGCTGAACCGCTTCCAGATCCGCCGGCTCAAGCTCGCCTGCTTCTTTTCAGCCTCCCTCTTCTCCGCCTCTTGTGCCAGCAGTTGCCGTTCTCGCTGCGCACTCTGACTCTTGTCCATTTTCTCTTCCACCTTGCGCGCATGCTCCTCGGGGTGCACCACCTTCTCCTCCGCCTCTTTGATATGCGCAACCCCATGCTTGACCTTTCTCCGTGTCTTGACATAGGCTTCAAGACCCACTAGCACAGCATACGACCGCGAAATGGACACACGTGACATGTCTACCCCATTCTCTTTCAACGAGTGAACAAATACTCGGAAATTCTCCGTGGGAGGTCGATAGTGGCCAGACAGAGGTGAGAGGCGCCGTAGCTGACCATCCTTGACTTTGATCAGCCCAGCGGCAGAAATTCGAGCGCCGTGGAGGAATGAGCTGTGCTGGAAGGCCCCCGACTGCTTAATTCCAATGTAGAGGCGGAATGACGTATCAGCAACCTAACCCAATGTTAGCACACTGGATGACATGACGATAGCTCCAAAACATACGAAGATCCAGGTATTCGGCTTCACCGAGCTACGCAGCAGATGGTTCAGAACCGTAGCTGCCGAAACGTATTTGATCTTGGATATGCCCTTTGCTTTGTCGAGATCCTCATTCACATAATGCTCGGCCTCCGCATCGCTCTCCGACGCCGAAGAGCTCGAGCTAATCGATATCAGCGAGCTCCGCCGTATCGTCCGACTCTGTCCGGAATGCAGCTTAGCCTTTGGTCCATACGCCGGCGTATCGTCGTCCACAGGCACTACGCCGTTAATACTATCTTTATACTCGGGCGTAGTGTTGATGCGCTCTCCGTTCTTCGCCCAGCACAACCGTCCTTCCCCGTCAATAGTGACCAAGTAGTTTAGCCGCTCCTCACGTGACAAATAGCGCACTCGCTCCGAGTCCATTCTCTGTCTCGACACGGTAGGATGTTCGTAATTCTTGCCTTCGCCGTAATCCAACCAGTAAAAGAAATTCTCGTGCGTATCCTCCTTCTTCCACTGCTCATGGTACGCGCGCAGATTACTCCCGTAGCGGTGCTTGTGATCGACCATTTCGAGAAAGTACTGCAGATCCATCATCTTGGCCGTCTTTTCGCGCTCCGCTCTCGATGCGCTGCGCTTGCGCCGCTGTTCTGTTTGCTCCTCTGACGCTGCCTCATCGCCGTTGTCCGTCTCTTCAGCGCTATCATGCGGATCGTCTGCGCCCGCTCGTCGCGCAATCTCACCTACTTTTTTCCACTTTTCGCGCGCAGCCGTCGAACTTGCGCGCGCCCGCTGCTCAGGCGTAGTCAGCTTCTCGCGCAGCGCTGCTTCCTCCGCGGCGCGCGCCTTGGGACGAGTAGTATGTCGCCATTTGGCTATATTTCAAACAAATCTTAGCTTTTGTTGGTAGGGGTAAATCGTTGGGGTAGGATTGGAGAATTGCTAACCGTCGCGTATCACCTGGGACACATTATTAGCCACACAAACTTGCTTCATTCACAAACCGTACATATTCTGTACGTTTTGCTTTTGTTTTGGTTTTTCTCAAACGGTTTTGCGGACCTCTGCCCAGCGTGCGCTAGCGTCCAGTCCCATGCCCTGGAGCTGCCTTCGCTCCCTGTACCCACGGTAGTTGCGCTGGATAACTTGCGCCGCATGATTCTGCTGCTGCTGCTGCTCGTCTGTTGTCGTTGTCGCCGCCATGTTTGCCATGCTTTTTGTGCCAATGTTTGCAACTTTCAGAAAACTTGGCACCCGAGTCTGGCATGCCACATTACATATATGTGTGGCGCAGGGAAAACGTGGAGAAAAGGGCTGAAGTGTCCGTGTCCATGTGTGTGGTGAGGCTTGACAGCTGCGGGCACAGACCTGGTGGAGCTAACGAATGTAATCCGGTACGCCGGCAACTTTTGCCTTCGTCAGGTGCGAGGAGCCGCGTCATCAGCTCCATTACCTTGACCTTACATACTTTTTCCTGACGTTTATATCCCTCATTTCTCAGGTCATGGTAAACGCTGAAATGAGTATGTGTGGCTGTGCTAAGGAATGAAGCGTGATTTTTTTCTCTCTCTCTCTCAATTAATGAGGTGGTGAGCAAAAGAGGGACAATGGTTGAAGTGGTAATTGCGCGAGCTTGAGCGGCTGGCCACGTGACTTGGGTCTGGATTTACGACGACGTACAACAGCATGGTAGCCAGAGACGAATATTGGAAATGTCAATGCTTGGTTGGTTATATCGATTCCCAAAGTCTGCAAGAATTTCCCGTTGTGGTAATTATTAATTTCTATTGGCTTGTGATTTAAATCTCCAGGAACAAACATTCTTTGTGAAGAATATTTTATCTTGGAGGCTGAAATTCTGCATAACGTGTTTCACCACCGAGCGCCGCACCCCACCGAGCGCCGCAGTTCCCCCACTAAAACAACGTCGCAATACTTCTTACGCAACACCACCACAATTTTTAGTAATAAATAGAATAAGATGTTATTCTTTA